GCACTTGCCCAGGAAGTGGGACAGTTGGTTGCTATGAACTCCTCATCCTGAGGACATTCAAACTCACATATACTCGCTCTCAGGGCAGCATGCTAAATACCAGATCATAGGAATTGCTGGGGGCACCCTCCATTCCTCCAGAGGAAGATGCGTCACCACAGTACAACCAAGAATACAAGAGTCCAGGAAATCAGAGTGAGCCAACAAGCAAGTAATTATGTTGCCTAGTGATTAGGACACTCACCTGGTAGGGAGGAGTTACAGGTTTCATTCCCTTAGCTTAAGATACTTGCTCATCTTTGCCAAATGACTGGATTGGATTATTGCTGATTGGATACAAAACAGCATGAATGGTGAGCTAAGGGAATGAAACCCAGAACTCTTCCTTGCTACCTGAGTTTATTGAAATGTAACAATGCAGGGAGCAGAACCTTTCCAGCTGAATACCCTCACATCAGCCATGTACAAAGGCATGCTCCTCCTCCTCACTTTCCTCCAGGCTGTGAATCTTGCATCCTTTGCTGCACAGGGGCCCAGCTTCAAACAGAAGAATAGACTTCCCCAGAACCTAACCTATACCTGGCCAGGTGGCAGATGTGAACCTGAACCCTTGAGGAGGGCCTAGCTCCAGGTCTTTTATCTCTTGGATGAGCACTCTAACTTACTAGGCTACTATATAAAAGGTGGGCAGTGGCACCACAGGCAACATTTTTTAACGGAAGTGGCCAACGTGACTGTGTTTTATGCTGAACTCAATGCTGTTGGGGGGTGTTGAGGTGGGTTTGAGCATACCCATGAGACTGGGTCCCATAGGAGCCTTACGCAAAGACCTGCCTTGCTTCTGGATCCCTGTGGGATGCTGCCAGAGACTAGGCACCTACATGTTTAGTCAGGGAAGTTCTGGGCATGGGCAGAAGCAGAACTGTAGGGACTTTAAAGTTCAACAGGAAGGCATTGAGTTTGCTTTGGCAACTGGGGCACCTTCCAACCCCCTCCAGAATGCCCCATATCCTGGTGATTGGTGCATTGTCCTGGGGATACCCCTACCTTCTGGGTGGATTGTTGGATTTTCAGGGGGGGGGGAGGGGGGGGGGAGTTACCTCTTCTCCAGCTATGTTTTGAATGAAAGGACTAAGCCCTCTGCAGTTTTCGAATAAAAGGCTTGGGGATTCCTTTCTCCAGGAGGGAAGTGTCTCTGCAGCTCAGAGTGAAATGCCTAAATCCTTTGAGATATACTCCCCGCTGTAGCATTGCTTGTGGACTAGCTTAGGAACCACCCAGCTCAACATGCTGATAGCTGTGGATCCCATTCTCAGGCATCGCGCATTGTATAGAGCCAAGAGGATTCTACTGCAGTGGCAATGGCTGCCTATACACGTGCTTGGAAGTGCTGGAGGGGAGGGCATCTTAATTAGAGTGGCTCCTGGGCAGCTGCTTTAATTAAGACAGATAACCGTCGTGTGTATTAAGCCTTTCATGTTTCAAAATCATGGTGGGGACACTTTAACTTAAGCTCAACCAATGAGGTTTAGGTAACGCACCCCTGCAGCCATTTTGAAGTGCACGAAGGCTTAATACACATGACAATGAGGTGACTTGTTCGTGTTCTAATGAGAACGTGGAGCAGACTTGGTGAATTGAGTATGCTCTGACGTGTTCCAATTAGAACATGAATGAGCACGTCTATAGGCAGCCATGTCCTTTGGTGGAGTTAGCCCAAGTAGAAAAATAGGCCAAGCCCAGATGAGCGTGGCCGTGTGGTCTATGGTGCTGCAGACGTGTCTGCAGCACTACATACTGCATGTTCAGTTGTTGTCTGTGCTGCAAGAGAGCAGCGTGGAGAGGTTTTTTGACCCCTGGATATCCAGGGATCAAAAAAACCTACAGGAAAAGAAAAAGCAGAGTGGTGCACACAGTGGCAGCATGTCCTGCCCAAAGCTGGAGCCTGGCTGGCCAGGGCCGCATTCCACTAATGGCCAGGATCTGTGCAGCAGGATTTCCACTGCTGCAGCCCAGGAGGCCCCCATGACCCCAGGTAAGGCTGCTGGGGCCAGCCCAGTGCTAGCGCCAGCCTCCCCTACCCTACCTGGGGTAAACTGCCGCATGCCAGAGCATGTGTGGCACAGGCGTTCCCTGGGGACAACTAGCGGCGGCACAAGGTGCACTGTCGCTAGTTGTGCCTGGGGAACGAAACATCTACACTTGTCTGGATGCAGCCGTAGAGAAAATACCACTCCCTCCCCACAATCTCCCTTAAATAATCTCTGTTGTAATCAGAAGGTTTCAGATAGAATTGTCTCAAGAGGGACATGGTTATAATGGGTGGCTTGTATCCTGACCCAATAACCACACTGATGAAGGCATGCTGTTATTGCACATAGCTGTTTGACTCAGATGTTGGAGTCTACCACATCATTAATCTGTGGTTCACTAGTTCATACTCACTTTTGATTGTATGGGCTGGAAGTTTCCCATTAAAGGCCCAAAACATTTTGTCAAAAGCAGAACTGAGCCTGATGAATCTCACTTTCCTGCCCACCGACAATACAGACCTTTCTGCGCACCTGAGTGTCCACCCTTCCAGATGAGACTTGCGAGGCTGCTTCTGATGAGGAGACAGACATCCACCGACCCTATCATCCTCCTACAACCCTGCACCAAGATCCCACCATGGATCAATCCTGGCAATTGACCTCCTCTCTTAAATATGGAAATATTCCTTACACAGGAAGCTTTACAAACACAAACGGGAGGAGAACCAAAAGAATGGCTTCTGAGGATGGCCTGCTGCCATAGGCAAAGGGATTCCTTGAGCAATACAGAACGAATTCCTCACGCTGTTGGGCCAACAGATTTCCCTGGAGATCTTTGGCATCTGTGGATTAAAAAGGCCTGCTGTGCAAGCTGGAAAAATCCCATTTTTCCCCTTCTCATGGGAGGTTGCAAAGTAAATGCCAAAAGGTTCATAGGGTTTCACAAGTTTTTGTAATGCTCTTGCAAATGGGATAAGGTCTGCTCCTTTTTTAAAAAATAATTCTCTAACCTGATCTGAACATGGCGCCAGTTTGTACGTATGTTAGGGTATTCTCAGTGGACTGGATCCAGGGGAATTTATGAATGCGGTCTTTTCCAGCAGTCAAAGTGAATACAGCCTCCTTATGAAATGGGTCATTTTAATTCCAAGGCACTGTAGCTGTCCTTTAGAAGTTTGCATAGCAGTTTCAGCTAAGCTGCATGGTTCACATGAATTAATCTACTCTTCAGAACGTTTAACCAACCAATTAGATTACTATCTCAATCTAAGCATTTTTTAAATTATAGCTTAAAACTTTTCTCCTTACATAATCACTAATCTTATTTATCACACAGCGTACAGTTAAACAAGAGGTACTGTAGCAGCAGCCCTTGTGCTCAGTTATTAGACGGCATTCTTCTTTTCTTTTGTGCTGCTCTCCAGGTTCTCAGAGTTTTTTTTTTTTTTAACCTGCCTTTCACAATTTGCTCATTTCCGATAACTCTCTTAAAGTCCATTTCCTGTGTTCCTGCAGATACCAATTTTCTTCTCAAAATAAGAGGTTTGCCTCTGTAAACCCAGACTCCCTTTCCTACAGGCCTAGATTTATGATGAAAATGGCTTGGTGATACTTTTTTTCAAACTCACTTATACACTTGGCTACTTTGGTTTGCTGGCTTTTAATTAATAACCTGTGACTTTTTTATTTTATTTTTAAAGCTGTACTTAAACTGCTGTAAAATCTTTGAGGCTGCTTCCCATAACAGCACCCTTTGGAGACGAGTATGAAAAGTGAAGTTTCAGATGACTTCTGCTGAAGGTAGAGATATTAATATTAGTTACGTAGTTATGCCTCACACATTTCATGACACAACTGATGTCATATTGCTGTTCCTAAAATCATTTAAATGAGTGTTCATCTTCTTTTGCCTATAACTATAAACAAAATAATTATGTTAAAACAAACTGAGAAGAGCAGCGGTTAGGTTAAAGAATATAGACACTGATTATTTGCTATTATATTTTTCTGTGACTAAGGACCAATCTGACTTTATTAGAGTAAAAAGCAGGGTAGAGATGCACCTTGTAAACCAGGGGTGGCCAACATGTGGCACAAGTGACAAAAGTGACACAAGCTGCCTTTTTGCATGGCAGCTGGCAGATCAGGGAGGGGATAGGTGGCACAGCAGCTGATAGGGCAGAAAACAGAGGAATACACTGGGCAGGGAGCACAGAACATGGAGCAGAAAGCAGAGCAACAGATTGGGCAGAGGAAGGGGATCAGAGTGGCCCTCAGGGCGGGTGTGGGACTAATTTGTGGCATGCCTGCAAAAAAGGTTACGCCCCACTGTTACAGACTCACTCAGAGAGGCGGAAGTTTTTGCAAACTTGAGCTCCCTCATCCGATGCTCTATAGAAGTCAGAATGGGCTTTTCGTGGTCTAAAACCTACATTTATTTTTACATGAAGGTAGACTGTCTTTGCCCAGATTCCCACTCAAGTTTGGCGCTGGAACAGGTGTCCACCCATTCTAGCTTGCAGTACAGGATCCTTATTTTGTAAAAGTTAATTTTAGAGGGAAAATGTAAGTGAGGAGGGAAATCTGATTTTAAAAGCACACTCTTT